CTCTTTCCAGGATAGCTGGAAGGGAGCTTGCTGATAAAATCAAGTGCACTCAGACACAAGAGGCTAGGGATAAATCTTTCTTTCTTTTGGTCAGTGATGAGATACTGATGTCCTGCTGGCCATTTGGGGCACCAGCCTTGGCCCATGACATGGCATACAAAACCTAGAAAGCCACTAGGCCACCCTTTGGTGGGGTCAGTGGAAAACATGGGAAAATCCTAAGTTCAGTGAACATGAGACCAACAAATAGAGGCTGAGCAGTCTTGCTGTGGGCATCTAAATGCTCATAATTGAATGGCTTTGTCATTCTTGATGATTTAAATCTGCCTTACTGTTTGATAATTACTGTAAAATAAAAAGGCATCAACATTATAGAGCTGGATTGTCCGAGCCACTTTCCACTATCAAAACTGTCCTTGTTGGGATCAATTAAGTGGTCATCCTGCCAATAATGAAGGCAGTGTTCTTATCTCCACTGTACAGATGAGGAGAGGAAAGCCCTGAGAGGTTAAGTAAAACGCCCAAAGCCACACATGCAGGCAGCCTGGCTCCACTGTCCCGGGCCTCAGCTGCTGCTCTGCAGAGTTCACGTCATTTTACATCTTACATTCTGATCCAGTATCTCTCTCCCACTCACACACTTGAAACAAACATCTCTAATGCACCCTAATATATTCTATTCAGTTTTTTTAAGGCTGGTCCATCAGGGATGAGATTAGGGTGAGGCAAGCGAGATTAGTCACACAAGTACAGGGTCAGATCTTGTATTTATTTAAATTTGGTAGTTTTTCCCCATGGATTTTTGCATTAATAAGGAATTTTTCAAATATTGCATTAAAATATTGACCTGAAGTACTGGGGTTTTGGCACCCCCCCCTACATTTTGCACCTGAGACCTTACCTTGCCCTAGTTCCAGCCCAGCTGGTCTTGAACCATTAGACTTTCACAGACCCTAATAGGTTGTGGCCTGAGTTTAAAAACAAAAACAAGGCCACCATGTTAAAATGTTCAATATTCCCAATAAAAAAGTCATCTCTTTAATTTCCCATTGGGAAACTGACCTCCCCAACACAATCCAGCCTGATTCTTTTTTTTTTTTTTTTGTGGTACGTGGGCCTCTCACTGTTGTGGCCTCTCCCGTTGCGGAGCAACAGGCTCCGGACGCGCAGGCTCAGCGGCCATGGCTCACGAGCTCAGCCGCTCCGCGGCATGTGGGATCCTCCCGGACCAGGGCACGAACCCGTGTCCCCTGCATCGGCAGGCGGACTCCCAACCACTGCGCCACCAGGGAAGCCCCAGCCTGATTCTTTAGACGGTGTAAGAAAATCCCAGAGCAGATTACTTCCCAAAGTGACATTGGCATGATGATTTGTTCAAGGAAGATGTTTACTCAGAGAGCCCTGAGATTACATTTACTTACATGGGAAGTGTGCCTGGTGTTTATTGAACCATCAAGTTATGAAACAGGGTCACTTTCAAGGAGGGGACCAGGCAATTTGCAACTAGGTGTATCTGCTTTACCTTTTCTACATCTCAAAAAGCAGCCAATTTTATCAAAGCCGAGTTTCTCAGCAACAATCAAGCTGAGATCTTCACTGACAGAACTTGCAAATCCCTATGGTTGGGCCAACCCCAGCCTGTTAGAAGTTGATGTGCCCCAGGTCTAAGTAGTAAAATCCTATTTTTATGTTATGCCCTCAGCTCCAGTAACTTTCCACACCATGTGATGGTTTAAAAACTTCCACATAAGAACTTTAAAGCCTCACCTGCGCTTCTCTCGCCCTGTCTTTTTATATCTGGCCACACCACTCCTGACTTTGGCATTGTGCCTGATTTCAGGTTTCCAGTTACCCATAGAGCTCTGCCTTCTTTATTTTCAGTGACTAAACAGAAATTGTAGCTGCTTGAGAACATGGCTATGGCTTCTAGGCCACCTGAGGATGAGCCGCCTTTTAAAGGGAATGTTGTGAACACACTGTTTAGACTTCAACCTCCCCAGAAGAAAAGACGGGGCCTCAACCTAATTAGACAACAGGGTGAGAATGTGAGGCCCTGACCAAAATGTCTCACGTGACAGTGACTCGGAAAAGTACTCATTTTTTTTTGCAATTTTCCCTTTCCCTCCCTTCATT